GAATTTCTACAATGCCATACAGCTTGTTCTTGCTATAGCCTCTTTATCTTTACATTTTCAATTAGGTTTTGTGAAACACTGACTTGTCTGGGGCTGCCCATATCAACCACCAAATCCAATGATCTAAACCTTTAGCCAAACAGATATGAGACATTATGCAAGCCAGTGTTTCAAAAGGAGCATTTGTACCTTGTGGACAAACATTGTTCAAGGAGAAATACTCACCTGTTCAAAAGGTCTGTGTTTAGAGCAAACATTTGCATTAGGCTTGCATAGTCTTTTTCACTTGGGTCCATCGCTGTTTGAGTTTTGCATCACACCGAATCTTGGCTTTAGTTTCATGCCAGAAGCAGTTCCAGTCCTGTTGCAAGCAGGTTGATATGGAGGTATTGGTGCAGCTCACTGTTTGTTCTCCTGCAGAAACTGTTACAACTGCAAGGGTTGCTTTCCCTTTTTGTTGCCTGGTGGACTAACCCAGAAAGGCCATAAATGAGGGGTTATAGACTTGTAATTTTATTTCAGCTTTATGAGCTAGTCCGTGGCTGGCTGTACGCTCCAAAATTGCATTAGGGATATTCTCAGACTGCTGCTGGCACTGCAGCTCCAAGTGTGCTCTGCTAATAGTGAACCCTAGATCACAGACGGTCTAGTGGGAGCAGACATGACTCAAGTTGCTCAAAACAGGGATTAAACTATGCAGAACTTTGCATAATTGACCAGTAGCAGGTGGCAGCGTATTGAAGTGGTGGTGAATAAGTGATGAACTGATGAGGCTGGGACAGAGCAAACATTTAAGGCAAACAAAGTGAATCTTTTTGGTCGCTTCAGCTAAACATATATGCCAAATCTGCTTTAGTTGGTTTTTAGATTGTGCTAATTTAACCATAAATGCTTTGGTAGCCAACACAGCAAACTTTGCTCGTCTGTAACAGCAAGTTGTCTGATACTGGGCAGTCATAGGGCAGCAAATTTGAGGAAGTATTTACACATCATTTTGGGTTAAGAAGTGAATCCATTTTGAAATGTTTATTGTAATAGCTATGTACGTCTGTTGTGCTTATTGTATTCAAAGTGGAACACTTATAACCAACAGGCCAAGAGCCATCTATAAAACCTGCATTATTATGGAAAATGTTAAGAAAAACTGACATGTAAAATAATAACTTTGGTGACTGTCTCCATTCATGTTTCCTATCTATTAATCAGTGGTACCTGATGTATGGCTAGCTGCTTTGCTAACAAACACAGTCCATTGTTTTTAACCCAAGTGAAGTTATTTTTTTTCTTTGCCAAAAGAAAAAGTGTTTGCTGGTAGGACTAACCCTGGCAACTGCTTATAGCTATGTGACTAACTCAGAGAACCCCTGAAGCACAAAGAAAATATTTAAAAATATCGTATCGGAATATTTTGTATCATGTTACTGTATCAGTTCAGATCAGATTTTTGTGTTTAAGCCCCCAGCCGCTAGATAGCAGTGTTGTTAACGTATACTGTGGGCTGTTATGTTGGATGTTACAGGGCAATGTATCTATCAATACATCACCTTGTTTACAGTATCACAATATATTGGTTGGTAACCCCTGTATTGTAATATGTATATATCGCCAGATTCTTGCCAATGCACAGCCCTACAAAGAACACAAAGGAGCTGCTCTGGCAGATGAGAATAAAAAAAAGACAATAGTCAGGACTCAGTGAATGAACATTCACTGAAACAGCATGTTGAGCAGCTTGTCATAAAACGATACATTGTGATTTCAGCTTCAAATGGAAACACCCATGTCTTTTTCTGTAATTTCCTTTTGTGTAACTACAATATTTTGAAAGGTGTGTAGTAGTTGAAATATGCAGTGGTTGTAATTTGTTTTTTTACCATGGCACACAGTCCCTATTTTGCTCTGTGCTCATTTCTCTGTGTAATTGCTGCTTTTCTGAAGTCAGTTGGAAGCCTTTGAGCCTTGTTTACACTCTATAGATTGCTTTTTTATACATGCACCTTATCTTGACATTGTTGGATTAGAGTGAAAATGAACCTCTTGTGACGAGGAGACACTTGTTGTATCTAGCATACCTCTCTGTGGACCAGTGCAGGAGTGAACTGGGTCCAGTTTGTGTTGAGGGTTTCTTTATTTCAGAGGAAATGAGTACTGTGTGTTTGCTGTCTGTGGTCATGAGGCCTGCGTGTCACTCCCAGCAGACTCATTTTCTGGCTCATTCGTACACTCCTCCCTCAGCTGCAGGATGTCCCGCTTTAATTGGCCGAATGATCCCCACCCTGACCGACCATTGGCCGACCCCGCCTCTGCTCCTGCCTCCATTTGCGCTGTCACACTGTTTGTGTGTGTATTTTCTCAATGTGTGTGTGTGTGTGTGTGTGTGCCCTGACACGCCTACAGCTTGTCATCCACTGACGAGATATTGTCACAGGACATAACATATGGCCCCACCGGGCGCCATGTGTGCTTCTTATGAAAACCGTGTCTAAGGAGGCAGTTGGGAGGTGACATCAAGTCCCAGCATGCATTAGCTCTGCTGCAGATGATTCATCACAGTGTACCAAGAGAGTTGGCTAAGTCAAATGTTCTTAAGTGTCATAACAATGCAGACTGATTCATTTTCACCTCTTTTAATAATCATTGTGCAGCCGTCTATTAAGCACTTTGCAACTCTGTTGTGTGAAATGGTCTAAATTTAGTTATTTTAATGTAGACCTTACTTTAGTATAATTAGTTATGTGCTCTTAATTGCAGTGATTATGACACACCACTGATGAATGAAAATCTATTATTGCACACACTCAGTTGTGGTATGTCTATCACAGACAGAAACCATGTGGATATTTGAATTACTTTGTCTGAGGTTGAAGGTCCATTTTGATCCCATAAAAGGATATTGTTTGTCTACAAGTAGAGCTGCCATTAATATTTTGATAATTGACTAATCGTTTTGAGTCATTTTTTTAAAGAAAAAATCTCTGATCTCTGAAGTCTACGTGGTACTTACATTTAGGGCCTGTGTTTCCCACATAATTGACGCCTACTCATGTGAAATAACTACTCTTTTCTGTTTCAATTCATCTCGTATTGCTTCAGGGAAATTGCAAAGAAAAACCAAGCTCCAGAACTGAAACAGTGCACTTCATGGCGTTCGGTCTGCAGGTTCCAGTGATTTTTGTGGATGCTAGAACATTTAAGAGCAGGTCGGGGCTCAGGAATGAGGGCTGGTCAACTCCAAACAAAAAGAAAATTAACCTCTTGTCTCTGATGACTTGATCTCAGGGCACCACTCCCACATATCCCTAGTTCACAAGGGAGAAGAGATGACTTTAGCATTTCCCTGTGTGTTTTGGGAGCTGGCCTACTTTCTGTTTGTGTATTGTCTCTGTGTATCTGTGCTTCTGTTTTAGTTCCCGGCTTGGTAAATGCCCACAGACTCTGTTGTTTTCTCGGATGCAGCACTTAGTCCAAACTGGACCAGGTTTGGTCTGGTGAAAACCTCGCCTTTATTTAGCATGGGATAATATTTTGTTTTGTGCAGTTTTTATGCTAGATTTACATCCTTTGTATCGGGAGGATAAGTGCATTCTCTGTGCTGGATGAATGCTGCCATTAAGCAGCCTGCAGGGCTTCAGATGGAACTAAGCTGAAAGACGGGCTTGTGGTGGTTACATAAGTCTGCCTTTGTGGTGTCATTGTGCCGCTGTGATGAGCCAGGCCTCGGCCAACGGTGGAAATGGCCTCATTAACTAGAAGCAAATAAGCATTTTAACACATCTCACTACTGCGTAACATGCACATATCCACACAATATGGAAACAGCTGTAACTAATAGCTGTTTCACATACTTAATCTGCCAATTTATTTGTTAACAAAGTTTAGAGTTGCTTTAAAGACCATATCAGCACTACAAACACCATACTGTCTTTCCTTTAATTAACAAACTGCACACAGTGCTGGTACAGAAACACATAATAATGAGGTACCTTTGATACTATTGAAATTAATTAAGTAATTAACAGAGATTGTAGTGTTTTAAACACGTGGTATTGAAAGATTAAAAAGTATAAAATAGAAAGTAAAAAGGTATTAACATATATTTTTCCTCTTTTGATGGAGGATAGTTGTTTTCTACTGCATCCAGTCTTTGCTCTTAGAAAGGCTAAACACGGTCTGTCTCTGTACTGAATGCACAGAGGACATTAGAGATGTTCCGAAACCAATTTTTTCCCTTCCTGATACCGATCCTGACACTTGAACATTGCGTATCGGCCTGGTACCAATCCAATACATGTTCTTTAAAAATGCGATGTTGTGTGATTGTTATCATTATTGTAACGACTGGCTGAAGTTGTCAGAGTAGGGTGGGTCATGACTTCGCTATCCTGGTTGCAGAGACACCCATACCCCCCGATACCTTGTTTTATGTAGTATCAAAGGAATTTAACTGATCAGAATCAGTTAACTAAAAATAGTGATCCCAGAAGTCCCCAAATGTATGATTTAAATGATTTTTGCCTAAAAAGCGAAAAAGATTCCCATTTATTATCTGCTAATTGATTAATCCACTATTTGTTTCAGCTTTTGGCTCTTTGTTGCGAGAATTTACTTAAAATGTTTATTTATATTTATGTATTTATTTATTTAATTTTTAGACAAGGTGATCATGTCCTGAAAGGTTTTGTTCCTTTGCTAAAGTAATTGATTAGTAAGTAACTTGGGGATGTTGCGTTATTCTCTGCCATTTTATGACTATACACCAGTCTCTAAAGTCATTGTGGCATGGTGTGGCAAAACCTACATTTTCTTTCAACTTTCATAGTTACAACACATAGTTACAACACAGTAGTTATAGCACAAAAAGACAAAATAACAAATGTCAGCACGCTGATATGGTTTAGAAAAACCCAAAGTAGCTTATTTAAAGAAACAAACAGACAACAAACAATGTAAAAAAACATGGACTGACCTCTGTATTTGTCCCTGTCTGTGTCTCTCTGCAGTGGAGGGTGAAGGTCAAGGTCGCATTCTCCAGCGGTTTCCTGAGAAAGACTGGGAGGACAGCCCGTTCCCACAAGGCATAGAGCTGGTAAGTCAACACTTAGAGACATGTTCCAGTGTGGCTCAGTGGCTAGGACAAGGCACTTAACCCAGTCAGGGCTAGGGGTTCAATTCCCTAGGGCAGCTCAGTGGTTAGAGCAGACTCTAACTTCCAGCTTTACAGGATTTCTAGTAGGTAATAATGCATTTATCACACTCTGAACTGGATGAGAGGTGTTTTTGTGGCGGTTGCTGAATGTAAGAGCATCGGTTACGGATAAGGCAGTCTGGAAGGAAGGTTTTTAGCAGAAATAGGGCAGTCAGCAGTCCTACACTGCTGTTATTTTGAGTGAAGCTTTTTATGCCTTTAATGAAACTGGTTCTTGTGGTTTGTCAGAGGTATATCCCCTCCAGGCTCAGGTTATTTATAGAGAGAAGAAAATGCATTTTTCTTACACATCAAGTGAGGAAACATTTGAACTTGAGAACCATAAGGGAACAATTTAACCCAGATGGCCTGATAAGAAAGTTGTGACGCACAAGGCTGAAATCTTTATCCACCAGCAGGGTATCTAATGTCATGTCACTTTGTTTGTCCAACACCAGCCAGATCGCACAATATTTGGTATGAAAATGCATGCTCCTCTGAGGATGAGTGCTATTTTTAATGACCCCTTGACCTTTCCTCCAATGGCACTATTGAGGCAAACATTATTATGTTGCTTGTTAAGGCCAGTAACATTGTTATAGCATAGTGTAGTATAACACTATTGTGGGGTGTAATGGACATTGTATCTAAGGAGTACTACTGAGGCTTAAGACATTGTATCTAAGGAGTACTACTGAGGCTTAAGACTTAAGTCTAGATAAATATATCAGATATTTAACCTGGAAGAAACTCAAATAAATGGATGGCTATTAGGGGATCTAGAGATAGGGAAAGGTTTCTTAAATTTGGATGGCTGTCTGTGAGATTTATTTTTCACAGAAGGGCCCAAAAAAGGGACTGCAAGGTCAGAAACTCAGCAGGATGGAGAAAGTGACGCACTGATTATGGCTGAACTGATTTGATTCGTTGGATTGACCTTTTTAAGGACCCGTGTAGGGTCGGTATTGGGGGAGAAAAGTCAGATGGCGGCATCCCTAAGATCCCTTTTGAGTGAGCATGGATTCACACATGGGTAAAAGGTCAGCTGGTTATCAGCGTATCCAGTCTGTGAATCAGATGTGAAACGGATCACTGACAATTGCTTCATAAACGTTTTTGGTGGGGATTGACTTAAGATAAAAGAGTCCATAAAATGGCATGTGTAACATGTTTACATATGCCAGTTACAGGCCAACTTCAGATCAAGTCAAGTCAGTGAGGCAACTTCATGAATAATGACCATAACATCACAATCTTAACAAAAAGCACTGCTAATATTGACTTTCTATTGTTTGTTCACCACAGTCAACATTGTGAGAGTATTGTTTGCTCCATTAGCATTTCATTTTTTGCAAGTAAATATTTGTAAAGAACATACCATAACTGCTTTAAACCAACTACATTGTGATTAGAAATGAGAGCAAAACATACTTCCACGTCTTCTCACATCCTTCAGGCAGAGCTTTGATGGCGTCGACATGTTATTAAACCAGACGGAAAGTTTTCAGAACCTGTTTTGTTGCGTTAATGATAGCCCAACCTGGGATGAATCACCCTGAGGTGCTGTAAGAACATGTGACTACTGCTGTCTGATATGTCATCCAGGATGTATACACTAATCTTTCTCGTTTTTTTGCCCTTTATTCCCATAACCATCTAATTCTAACCCATGTTCCTGTTTCCCTTTGGCCCCCACTCTATCACCTTTTCACCTCTGTCATTTCCTCCTCCACCTCCTGTCTAGTTCTGTCAGCCCAGCGGTTGGCAGCTGGTTCCTGAGCGGCAGCCTGCCTCCTTCTTTGTAGCAGTTTTGACTGACATCAACTCGGAGCGTCACTACTGTGCCTGCTTCACCTTCTGGGAGGGCCTTGACAACTCACAGGTGAGACAGACAGCTGTTCACTGTCTTGGGGATCAGTGTGATCTGTAGTACCAGCTGCAGGTGCAGCAACAATGCCATGATCCCTCACTGGTTTCCCATCTAGACTGTAAGAACGGTCCATAAATACTGTTTTCCTGAATAAAACATCCTGAGCTTTACACATATTCAAAAATTGCTCTTTGAATTAGCACGGTTTATAATAGGTGCAGTAAATGTGCATTTAAAAGCAATATTTAACATGTTTCTTTGTCCTATGGAGGACAGTGGAGTATGTGGATATTATTGGATAGGGTATACTTTTAATGTTCCCGTAGGGAAATTAGTTTTGGACTCCATCCTGCAGTTCCACAGAAGATTAAAAAAAAACCCCACATACTGCATAGTAAAAGAACGAATGTCAACATCTCAGCAACACACAGCTTCCATGTTAACAGTTTGCACGTACACATGCACACCTTCTGACAATGGGGACATATTGCACAACCCCATGGCAAAGTCCTAAACTACCTGTTTGAGTTGAGGATCTTAACGGACGTAGGTAAAAATGAATGTTTATAATGGCTCAGCTTGCTCTGTGGAACCCTGAATCTTCCACCAGAGAGTAAGAGCTGGAACTCTAGGTGGAGAATGTGGGTTGGATCAGAAACTATTTTCTGTGCCTGTCTGATAATAGCTGTATCGTATCGCATCAAATCAAGATGCTTTTTTGGGAGATTCATGTGTGGGCAGTCGGCCAGACTCAGCCGAAGAAACACACTTTTTTGGAATGAAAGAAATCTAGTGTTTATTGCATCCATTGATGAATTTCTTTTTGCTTTCCACCCATGAACACTGACTGCTGCTGCAACACCCATGTGTGACTGTAGTTATATCTGTTCCTCTCTGTGTTCAGCTGAAGAAGGCCGAAGCCAGCGAGGTGGACGAGGTGGACGAGGTGCCGGCTGTCGTCCAATCAGCTCAGGTCTTCGCCCCCAAGAGCCTGGTGCTGGTGTCCCACCTAGATTACACCGAGGTGTTCAGGGTACGACGCGAACAATAGTTCCAAATACACAAACAAAGGCCAAAACACAATAGTGAACAATAACAATATAAATAGCATATAATGAAGGAATAAAAGCTTTATTGCATGAAATTGTTTTTTTTTTTTTATTTTGATAGCATTTACAGCCTTCACTTTAAAAAATATTTTGTTATGTTGACCTCTGACCTCTGTGTCCTTCCCTCTTGATTGAACAGAACTGTCTGGGTCTGATCTACACCGTCCATGTAGACAGCCTGCCTGTCCCCTTGGAAACGGTGATTGGAAATCTCCTCACTTGTGTCATCCCCATTGCTGGAGGCTCCCAGGTAACTGCTGACCATCCATCTTCATTCTCACGCAGACACCAAACTGCACTGCCCTATGAAGGCAAAGATCATGACTACATACAGACTAGAGCTGCTGCTTGCAGCTGACAGATAAACTGTGACACCATTCTTCAGTCGCTGTTACAACTCTTTGGCTTTGCTGGGTGGTACATACTCTTTACTGTACATTACCCCATGCCTTGCTGCAGCAGCGCAGCTTATTCAGGCAGTAAGCAGTGTAGAGAAGTAGAGCTTGAAGCAGCCTGCTAGTATAGCACCTTGTTCAGCATGAACAGCTAGCTCTGACTGCTAGCATCGCTAAACTTGCATCCATGTTAGCTTGTTACAAGAGAAAAAGATAAAGTGTTGTTGGAGAGGTTTGGACCCTGTTTTCATGTCTATATGTATGTGTATAAAAGAGACTATGTTTATGCACAAGCAGAAGTGCTTATGACGTGCCTGCACATTTCTTTGTGCATGCATTGAATCATTTATGGATTACTATCTGAGAGAGTCGTGGGGGTTTGAAGTTACGTAAATCCTCTTCATAGAGCTGGCTTTACAGCAGCACCCTGGGGGGCAGTGTCATATACAGCTCAGTAAGCCGTCTTGTAAACACACTTTAGTGTAGATGTTTTAGCATCATTTCAGTTCAGTTTATTGTTGTGGGCTTACTGAGAGACATTAATGTTAAAGCTTTGCGAAACACATAGCCTTCTTTGTGGATGATAAGCGCCACTTAACAGATGTAGACTGAATCATCACATTTTGCAAGCGATGTTGGCCATGGAGGAAAACAACAATCCTTCCATTTATAACCAGATAACCAAAACAAACATGTTTGTGTTTTCTTTTACATAACATTCCATATCTGAGATACCAACTCAATACTTGCAAAGAAGCTTCACTCTTTTTTTTCATTTGCATATATATATTTGTAGACCTGCTGGATATATGAAATAAGCATCAGTGTGTTTCCTTCATGCTGAAGTCACAGTACAGCATATGCAATTAATGTAAACATGCACCAGCAGCATTGTGTGAGAGCACATTTGGGTTATTTTGAACAGCTTTTCATTACATTTTATGGATTTTCTTTTTCATTTCTTTATGATTTCTCTCCCCTTTACACATGTTTTCATATATTTTGTAAGAATCGTGTTTTTTTCTATCTCACCTGCAGAAAATAGTCACTTCTTCAAGTAAACTAAATAAGTGTAATAGGAATGCTGTTACACTTATTCATGCCTGTGGTGCACATATAGTGTCTATTTTGTCTAAATGCACATCAGCTGAACCCTCCCACTGTGGTTTCCTAGATGTTATAACCCATGTGTGTCATCTTTTTGTGCACTCTACTGTACACTGGTTCCTCTGTTTTACAGATTAATGAGTCCCCAGTTTGTAGTTTAGACAAGGTTCCTCAGGCCCTGGCCTGTGACTGGCTGCTGGCCTGTCTCCAGGTAACTTTACCGTTCTGCAAGCTTCACCAATCAACAACCAGCTCAATGTGATTGATTCTGTTAATCAAACAGACCCGAGTTGTTTTCTTTTCTTTAAGGAATGTGGTCTTTCTTGCAGTCATTTCAAATCATGCGTGATTGATGGTGCTTCAGCTATTTTTTACCTGCTTTTTTATGTGTTTTGTGATCAAACAGTTTCTACAGGATCATGTTAATCATTTCAAACATTTCAATTCTTTTTTCTTCTATTATGTTTGTCATCAACTTGATTTTTTTGCAGCAATGAATAATGATTTTGAAACAATGATTATTTTCATGTTGTTTCCTCACTCTTAAAACACACACACACACACACACACACACACACACACACACACAAACACTCAAACCCGTTGCTGTGCAGGTCGTAGTTCAGTTGCTGGGTGACCATATGGGATGGCAGATGGCCTCCTACCGGGCAGCGCAGCGTCTGAATGAAAGAATCAGATCTAATCAGTATTAACACACATACAGACCCAGACAGCAGAGGCTAATGCGCAGCTCTCCTCACACACTAACACACATCTGAAAACATGAAACACAGGGGCTCAGTGCTTTTTCACTCTCAGTCACGCTGATGGATTCTGACTAAAATGTTATCATTAGCTGTATAATACTTATAATGAAATGTATAATGTAAGGCACACACTGTCTCCCTCAAACAAACACCCTTATAAGCACACAGCTTGTTGAGGCCCTTATAAATGAGTTTGTACTGCTTCCATCCAGCCAAGCACAAACAGTTCTGTTCTTCTGACTCAAGAGGAGGACAGGCCACTTGGAAAAGAGTAACACACAAACACACACATTCCTAGAACTGTTTAATCACACAGGACTTTTCCATCAGCTACACCAAATGTCTGTCATTATCACAAGTGTGTCTGTCAACCTCTGCCCAAGCACACACAACACAATGGCTCCAGCAACGTGACACTGAAATCATCATCATCTGCCATCAGACACATTGTCATGGCAACGCTGTCACACACTAAACAGATAATCCTCTAACCTTCTGCAAAGCAAGACTTGTATTTAATGTATTTGTGAATATGTGTTTATGAAAATAGTTAAGCAATTGTGCCAGGTAGCTTACCTGTGATGTCAGCCAACACTTCTAAGTTCCACACTACTCAAAACATGTTTACTTGGAAGAACCTTGGTAAGTTTCTCATAAAATGACCCAATAAGCATTTGTTAGTGACACTTGAGAGATACATTCAAACAGGTTTGGAAATGGTTTTAAATTTCTATACAAAGACAGTTTGATTAGGGACGAGCGAGTACACCACTATCTTGTCTATATCTGTACTTGGAGTGGGCGGGGCCTTAGGAAGTGAGGGGGCCAACCGGAAGTTGCTAATTTAAGCCTGAAATTGACATGGGTTGATCAGAAGTTGGTATATTTATTTAAAAAACTTTTCAGAACAGCCACAGAATTGAGCTTCAGGGCAATATTTTTATCACAGTGGCAATTTACAGAATAAGTATTTTTTTAATTAAAGTTATATAAGGTATACTATTTATTATTTAATAGAGAACAGATATTGACATTGACTTTCATTCATTCTGATGATTATTTAGTATTATCTTTACCAGATATTAGTTTCAACTGAGAAGTCACTCAACACAAATTTTGACCTCAGTTGATAATTTTCTAAACCCTTCCCCCGAATAGGTCCAGCTGTGTACATGGCTGGAATGGATTAAACGTTGTGTTTGTGTGTTCTAATTTAAGCTCCCAACGTTAGCACGTCCAGCTATTTAGTTTGCTACAGTGGTAACTAAGCACCACTCAGCTTCTTATTCCACATTTTGTGTCGCAGTGTTTGTCACACACATTGGTTAGTCCTCGTCCTAAAAGCCTTTTTTTTCTTGTAACATTAAAGGTTACAGTAGCACTGTAAACTGCATAATAGGACTGTTTGAGAAAGGAAAGCTTGACAGGTGTAGCAACAGTAACTAACTGCCACGTAACCCTGGGCTGCCTTTTTTATATGGAGCGAACTGTCAACATCTATCTACAAAAAAGTGCACTAAAGAACAGTTCCAGTGCACTGCTGTGCAGCTTGTGAAATAACTGCACAGATGAACAGTGTATGACATCGTTTGACCTGCAGGATGTTTCAACACTTAAGTCATTTATCTGAGTAGTTTACACAACCCTAATGTGAAGTGAACTGCAGGCTGTTGGCCTGATGTCAGAAATAGTGAATTATAAAAGTAGAGCAGCGGGGTGATCTTGTGGTTAGGAGGACCATCCTTAACACAGGGAGGTGACAACGTTTAAGGCATCCTTTCTCGTCAAGTCCCCTGAATCCCGGAAAGCTGTACACGACCCTGACCTATGACCTGTGTGTGTGGTAGTGTCAGATTTCCCCATGGTGGGAGGCGACTTTTATTTAGGATGGAAGAAAGTCAAGGGCTCATTTTACCATCCATTAGCGATTGAGCTGTTACTGGAATATGTTTCAATCTGTCTCTTAAATGAATTCATGTGGCAGAGGGAATTCCAGTCCCTGTTTCTGGACACAGTCTGTCACACCGCCAAGAGCTCTGTCAGTTTGATGTAGCAGTAACACAGTACAATTTTGAGGCTCACGCTTAAAACTGAAAGTTGCACAAGTAATTCTGTGGAAGGTCATGGCCACTTTCTGTTAGTCGTGACACATTTATTCTCACGTAGGCTGCAAGCTTAAATTTTTCCCTTTTCACCTCTCTTTTATCACAGTGCCTCTGAGCTTGAGGTTGGCAGGTGATGTCAGTGCAGGAACTCTGCTGATTCCAGTATCGGTTTGAGTACCTTTTATGGTTTAAAAACGGGTATGTGGTGTTGGAACCTGTGGTCAGATGTTTTCACTTTTGAAACAAAGATAACTCAGCTTTGGGAATCCCCGTACCATGCCAGTGTTAGTTTTACAGTGTAAATCCAAAACCATGTGAGGATGTAGGAGGTTATTTAATAGCTTCTGATAGATCCCCGTTTCTCACAAGACAAAAGCAAACACAGTCCTCAATGAGGCTTCTCCTCTGTACCTTCATAGTGTGTGTGTGTCAGTGTGTGTGTGTGTGTGTGAGAGAGAGAGACGTACACTGAATTACTAGTAACACTAGTAAATATGTCATCTGCAAACTTCTTTTCCCTTTTTGTACTATTATTATTGTGTGTGACAACTGAACCTAGCAGTACTTGAGTTGCTCTCTCTCTGTGTTTATTTGGAGTAGAAGGACATAATGAATCATCTGTTGCCATTATTGTGCTGCCGGATGCTAAATGATGGCTTTACTTTGTTTTGCATGTGTGTTTGTCATGTCCAATGTTGCACTCATCCTATATTTTTTCACACAGCAGTCATCTTGCAGTTCACGTTTATGATGTTATTGTTTGTGCAGCTTACTTGTTTTGCCATGCTGATACATTACTGTCATATTGTTGTCAACTTTGGGCATCCTGTGCCCTCACTCTTGTTGTTTCTAACCTGTGTCTTATCCTTCGGGTTGTGTGTGCGTGTGTGTGTCTCTGCTGGGTGCTTGTGTAGCCGGGCCAGGAAGAGAGAGAGGAGAGTTTGGTACGCCAGCCTGACTTCATTCTCACCTCCCACCAATCAGCTCTGAGCTTCCTTAGCTTCCTTTACTCCACCCATTCCCCTCAGCCAATCCACACACACCTCATATGGCAGGAGAACCAATCAAAATGCTTTGATACTGACTCAATATGTGACCAACAACTGATCATTCATTTCATCTGATTCAAGGCTCTCAACTTGACCCACGTAGTCACAAACATTCTGACTTTTCATACTGATACTTGGTTTGTCTCATTCATGTGACCATTGCAGTTCTGTTGAGGATATGAAATGGAAACTACAAATAGTGGTAAAGGTAACTTTCAGATCAGTGTACTGTGAACAGCATCAGTCAAGGTGCTTTATGTAAGGACTGACGCAGTCTAATCAGGAGGAGCAAGAAAAAGTCATTAAGATAGATTTAGATAAATGTATAAGAAAAGGTTGTCCCATCAACTTGGAGTTGTTTTTCATAACTGTCTGGCACAATGTAGTTTATCCCACTTATGATGCCTGCCTGCCAAGGACTGCAACATTCCCTTTGTTCCCTGGCCAAAGAGTGCATTATTGTAATAACCGCACAGTTTTAATGTAGCATCTTCAGAACCGTTCTAAATGAGTCCTCATGGCTGGAAGGCTACAGTCTCTCCTGTTTGTTAAAGTAAAATACTAGCTAAAAGTTTAGTTATGTTTTAACCACATTTAGAGTCTAAAAGTGTAACTGCCATTTCTGCCTCCCAAGGACTCTCAACACTGAGGAATGCTCCCCAATGTTTCCAGCCCACATTTTCTTTTTGTCAGGTACAGACATACTGAAAGAAAGTTTGAAACCTTTTGAGAAAGATGTTGCATGTTTTTTTATTTTCTCATCCTACTTCTACCACTGGAATAAATGCACAAAAATACAGATCTATAAGAGGTGGTGATGCGTTTATATACAGACATACAGATATAGACAGAACATTACAGACTGGATCTTTGACAGATTTTATTTATGATATACTGATCTTTCCAGATACAGGTCGTTGTCCAGATTAGTAACAATTCTCTTTAAGTCCCCCTATTTAGCATATTTAGCACATTTAGATACGTTACGCCATTTTATTGTGTTATAAACCATTTATTACATCTTTATATGCTGCTTATGACTGTTGTAAAAGGGGACTTAAATCGTTGCCAAGTGATTAAAACTGTGAACTTTGTGTTGGCACCACCTAAGTAAACTAACTAGATGATGACACCTTTAGTTGTTTATTACTCCAGCAAGCTTTAGAGGCCTGTAGCCTTCCAGTTATGAGAAGCCATTTAAAATAGTGATGAAGATGCTACATCCGAGCCATGTGGTTATTGATACAAATGCTTTAAACCTCTCCAGAAAACCACATCAGAACTGAATATTCTCCCCAGTAATGTAAGACAACTGCACATCTGCCCCTCATTATCAAACCTCAAAATCCAAACAATGAATCGAACCCACCTGATGATCAGATGTTGGATCACAGAATTGAACTGCTAACCGCTCGCCTATGGTTGCTGACGCTGCTGCTGCTGCTGTTGCTGCTGTAGAGAGCATGAAATAATGCTGCACCGTTCCCTCCCAGCTAGCCTACTGCACACACCGCCATACTGACTGGGTACATTTGAACCCCTTTTCAGAAACAAATTGCCAATCCAACTGGTTTGTGAAGCCTGAAAGGCCCTCTGGCAAGCTTAAAATCCACCTTGGATGTCTACTGTTGCTCAGTCCAGGTGTCCATAGTGCTTTCATGTTATTTTGTTTTCTCTATGCACAAGGTCACAGAATTGTGATAATCTGAGAAAAATATCAGGATTATCATTTTGGTCATTATTGTGTAGCTCAAATGAATATAGCCAGTGGAAAGTTTCTCATTAAAAAATTATGAAGGGGCTTAGCTGGGAAAGCATAACTGGATATTTGCTTTGTACTCATTTTGAGTAAGAATATGTCCCATATGTTTTATGTAGAGCTCATGTCCCTAAAGCATATTGTACGTGCCGCAAACTTCCTCATCTTGCGCTGCATTGCTTAGTTGTGCTGTGTTGTTGTGCTCGCACTGTATAGATTTACTTTTTTGCAGTCTAAATCATCCCTATTTCCACTCCCGGATATGCTTGTTATCTGAACCACACACAAATCAATATTTATTGGCTTTGTCTTCTATCTGGAGTACAGTAGATTTTCACTTTTACAAAGTCAATTTGGACATCTGTAATGGAGGACAGAGTTATTAGACACAGTGTAGTGCTAATCAGAGATCCTGAATGTCAACCTTCAAGAAAGACACTTTCAACCCACAAATTGCAAGCCGGATCAGATTAGTGCTTCTACAGCGTCAAACGTTGGAGATGTTCATTTTATCGCTTCACGGCCCTAAATGAAACATTCACGCAGATTGACCCTGATCGGTCTCCTTTCCCTTTGTGCTCACATCAGTGGAAAATGGCCTGCGCATGACACCTGCCATGTGTGCTGGGTTTTCTCTCTCTCATAAAGGCTCATGGACATGGTGGTGCTGGTGTTGTTTCTGCAGTAAGGTCGTTGGCATGGAGTCCTGCCCAGCTCCATTCATGTCCCGATCAGCTGGAATGGCTTGTGTTTTATTTGTGATGTACCTGCTAAGCTTCTGGGATTCTCCATTTCTCTGTGGCTGACTCACGCTGCTCTCTGGACACGCACAACTGATTAAACCACGCCGTCAGAGCCTGATTATCCGAGGAACCGCAGTTGTTCTTTGGTTTTCTCACCTCCTCTTTCAATCCCTCTTTTCTCCCCCCCCCTCTCTTAATCTATAGAGGACTATAACGTTAGGTGCTGGTGACCGGCAAGTGATCCAGACCCCCATTGATGACTCACTTCCTGTCAGTGGCAGCAGCGTGGCCCAGCTCTTCAGACAGCTTGGTACGGACAGTTACTGCATAATATGGAATTCTTTCTATTCCTGTCCCATTTCCAAGTAGCATTTTTGTGAATCGAACTAACAAATATCAGATTTTGAATGTAAAATGGGCTATATTTTATCGATTAGTAAGCCTTATAGTTTATATTCTTTCCCAACCGTTGCTACTGTTCTGTAAAAGCAGATTTCAATTTAAGTTGTTACCTTCACTTCTATCATCATGAATTTGTTCACTGCTCTGGGCTCCCTGTGATGCCTTGTCTCTGCTCTCCCTCAGGTATAATCAATGTGTTGTATCTGTTCTGCGCCGCTCTGACGGAACATAAGATCCTGTTCCTGTCCAGCAGCTACCAGAGACTAACAGATGCCTGCCGAGGACTGCTGGCCATCATGTTCCCCCTCAAATACAGGTGTGATCCCCCCTCCTTGGTCTCTCCATGTCGTGTCTTTAGATCTTTCTCTGGGTGTTTTTTTTTTTATTTCAGGACACATTTGATCTAATATCTAATGGGTTAAGCATGGAGCAACAGATTGTTGACAGCACATGGGCTTAATCCCTTCCTGTGTTTGTCCTTTTCAGCTTCACCTATGTTCCCATCCTGCCCGGGAAACTACTAGAGGTCCTGAGCACCCCCACGCCCTTCATCATCGGTGTCAATTCATTCTTTCGCTCAGAGACGCAAGAATTGGTGAGTTCTCATTGCTACTACTACAGTGTAAGAAACTAGCATGATTTTATGTTTTGTGATACTGTATCGATTCTCAGAAACACTATTTTTAATTAATAGTTTACATGCAAAAATTTGTTGCAGATTTTATGCATATGGTGGTGTGTTCTTTTATTAAATAATATATGACTTAGATGTTTTTTCAAAAAATTTACTTGTTTACAGTATCGCAATGTATCACGATATGTTGAATCCTAACCCTTGTTTTGTTTTTACGTATCTTATCGCCACATTCTTGCCAATACACAGCCCTAAATGCTGCTGTATATTTTGATAAGAGAAATGAACTCAGACGCCAGAGACACATAGAAATTTCGGAAATTGGTTGTCTCTCATGGGCCTGAAACTTTCATTGTCGTCCCGGTACCCAGTATCAGTATGGACAGGAAGAACAATTACAGCAACCACTAACTCTAGAAATGTACATATGGACATGTAAATATTGTTTTAAGACAGACTTAAAAAAATGTAACCTTACCTTTTGTTTGTGAACTGAATGTAAAAGTGCCAACTACTAAACTGGACTGCCTCTACCCAGTACTTCACTAAAAGCAGTAAGGGCATTGTTTTTACAGTATCAATACGGAAAAATAGCTTTTAAGACAGCTTTTTTTAATGTCAGATCAGGAAATGTTATCATTCGCCACCGTAGTGGTTTTATGGGAGATTGTTGGCAGTGCCTTCTGAAAGAGAGAGAGAAAAAAAAAGCTTTTCAACAGAAAACAACCAGGGATGCAGCCTGAAGCAGCAGAAAATGTTGGCACCACACAGCCGGCCAGAGGACAAAATGCCAACTACACACAACCCCGCTCCATCAACAATAAACAAACAATGTATCATTAAAAAAACCCAGCATGCACTGTTTGGAAGATAAGATCAGCTGGAACACCTGCCAGTTCCCAGCTGCGGGAAAGAAAAGCTTTATATTCAAAGCTATCTTAGTGTTAAACGTTAAATATATTGTTCCATAGTGTAATAAACCAGAATGGCAGAAAGGCCAAACTCCTCTGTGAAGAAACCCTGTTGTGTAGTGTAACTATACACTACATCCCCTCAGCTGCTCTCATATGGAGTTTTGATTACAATGGAGAGAATGTTTGATGTAAACTCTCACTGACCCATTAAGCGATGGTTCATCTGTCTTTTAATAAACTGCCCTCGCTGCCATCTGCTTATTTGCTACCTGCCTACCTTTGTAAATTCTAATACAGTACTCTTTACAAACCTTGCCAAGATAAATTATACCAATATACATGACAATAATTACTGTCTAGATGTAATGATCAAAGAAAATAATCTTGCTGTCTTATTAAATCCTGATGAGAGTGTAATGAACGCTCCTGTTAGTGATGTCTGACCGCATGCTGCTGCTGCCCAGATGGAGCAACATCACAGCGAGGCACTGTGTTTTGTGCAGCAGTCACATGCCCATTATCAATGTAAGAGCAGTGTTGAGGGTCAGAGGTTATCGTTTGGGCAGCGTTTCCTGATGTCGGCAGTGAAATGTGAATGTTTTGTTGTTTGATAGCATCCTGTAATGAGCAGCTGCTGACGGAGACGCCTCTGTCCGCATCCGCATTTGTCTTTCAGTCGCTGTAATTAGCTTGTGTATCCTGCCGCTTATCAACTGTCTCCGAAGCAGACATGAAAAGTGTGTTTGTGCGTGTGTGTGTTTTTAGTTGGACGTGATCATCGCTGACCTGGACGGCGGTACGGTGACCATCCCCGAGTGTGTCCACATCTCCCTGCTGCCTGAACCGCTCCTCCAGCAGACCCAGACTGTGCTGTCCATGGTAAGAGCTGCAGCCTTAACCCTGAACACACCCATAATAATGCACACTACTACTGGGAAATCTCATTAACATCCAGTGGGTGGTTTCTACCAAGCAATAAATTCCCCGGTGGTGCTTTATGGTTTGAGATGCCAGGAAGCTTTTCAGGGTTTGTTTTCCTCCTAGGTCTTTGGATTACTCTTTTCATGTTTAATTTTGGGTTTGGTGTCATGTGATTCATTTGATTTTTCTTTAAAGATCCCCCCAGATAGTATAATTTCTACTCCATCTGCCTCATCTATGAATATTCAAATGTTGTTCATTTCAAAAGTTTTCCTGCTGGACACAAGATGTCCATTCTCAGTGTATGTGCACTGGTGACTTCAGGTTTCTACATCACACTTGTGACTTGACTTCCTGAAATGCTCATTAAAAATCAGATTTGCTCAGATTTTCAATGAGCAAAGAGTAACTTTCCACTTTTAGCAGGTACATGTGAAAGCATCCTTCTAGAGTCAAACTCTGCACATACAGCATTCAAACGGCACACTGTAGGAACAAGAAGAACAACATATTTTTTACTGGCGGGTGTGCTTTAAGTTTTAGTTCAGAATGGCATTTTTGTGGAACTTTTGGATGTTTGTAAAATACAAGGCTGCCAACTCAGCTCGTTATGTAACCATATCACCCTCACACAAATAGTAAACAATGTCCTATCAAGTCCTGTCCCTGCACTGTACTATTGTTTTCATATCAAGCTTGTTAAATAATGCCAGCTCACATCAAGCACTTTACTGCATCCTGCAGTTCCAGCCCCTTCCAGTATGCCAGTGCCAGCCCCTTCTGAGAAATGCTTTTTATCTGTTTTAGTGTGCAAACAAGTGATTTTCCAGCTTCCTCATTCTCTTATTGATATCTGCAGAATGCATGAAATTCTTTCCTGCTTCACATTGGGATTTTTGTTATTCATTTTATTGAATGTCTCAGGTATGTGGATCACAATGGATCTGTTGCAGGAAGTTGATTCCAGTGAAGTATCCAGTAGTTCAGACTGTTAGCATACAAGATATACCCCTAACAGATTCTCAGTTTTGTTATCTTGCTGCCAACTCGCGTGCTGCAAAGTTGTAAACTGTCGACTGCACAAACTAGTAATAATGAGTGTTTTATTACAGTATACAGCGCTCAAAAAAGTATTCCTTCCTTGTAGCTTCTTCATGTTTATTCTTTTACTGTATTGAATAACAGTGGATATAATTTGGATTTTATGACACAGAGTACCAGACAAAGAGTCTACAGCATGGCTAAAACCTACTCTTTAATGTCAAAGAGGAGCCAAATCTCCATAAATACATTGACAGTTAAATTTTTAGAAGCGTTTGCATTTTGACTTCAGTCTTTTTCTGTTGATCAGTGTAAAAAAATCTTAATTAACTCACAGAAACCCAATGTATTAAAACAGTGAATCATGAAAACATTAAAGGGTTGAGTGTTTCCATTTTCTGCTACTTTACGCTTCTACTCCATTGCTATTAAGAGGGGTATATTGTGCTTTTACTCCACTGCATTTACTTTACAGCTTTAGTTACTAGTTTACGTTCCTAATGTTTTGCATAAAACTCCCATGTTAAGCTTATAAACTACATGAAATTGTTAAAGATGAAAAGATTTTTGGCTTGTAACCCCTTATGAGAAAGCAGTGTCGAGATGGGGCTTGAGCTGCAACAAGTCAATTGATCGATTAGTTATCAACCATCCAAATTCTCGGATTTCAGTTTCTTAAATATAAAGATCTTCTGGTTTCTTTAGTACTCTGCAACAGTAAACTGCATGTCTTTGAATTCTGGACAAAACAAGACATTTGAGGAGGTCACCTTGGGCTTTGGGAAGTAGTGATCAACATGTTTTACCATTTTCTGACATTTTATGGACCAATCAACGAACTGATTAATCGATAGTGAAATTAATTGTAAGTTGCAGCCCTAGTTTGGGCCCTTCATCACATTTCATACATTGTTGCTAGCAGTTCCACCAAAGAGACATTTCCCCTTTAAACTTCTCACACGGTTTCATTTCAGTAATTGTTTGCGGATCAAAGAGGTCAAATGATTCAGTATTTCACAAAAAGCGAAGACCTCAAAAAATGACCACAGAGTTTTGTAGCAGAACATTAATTATCTCACAAGCCCTCAAATTTATCTAATGATGTTTCTGTGTCACCGGATAAATCTGGCATACTTAACTCCATGTGAACTAGTTAAAAGTAGCTTGACATTGAAAGTGACATGGATAGCTACAATAAAATGCTGTTTACACATGAACAAATCTGTATTAACAGTATATTATGTAATTATGTTCTTCCACAACGGTTGCTCTTCATCAGGCTCGTGAAAAGATACAAAAAACAACTGCTTAACATAAGATTAAGCGCATACAGGCAAACATTGTTTATTTAGCTCTATATGAAATGGATGGCTTCCAGTTGTCTTGGTTGCACTACTGAGTCAGTTGTGGGAAAATCCTCCTGATGTGTGTTCTAATGCCAAGTCATCCCTTCCTGGATAGTCGGGTTTGTTTGCTGTTGTGGTTACAGTCACGTATACAACACGATGATTCACTTTACTTGATTGCACCTATAAGATGACTGATGAGTTTCTGGTAAGAAATTGATAAACTTGTCCAAATCCACAGGACAGCTTTCCCTCTGCTGGAGAGGTGATGTCAGTGAGGCAGAAGGGAGGATGTGTTTATTTGAGAGAGGCTGGAGCTGGCATCCACTGCTCTGTCTCACATATGCCAAGTGTGTATTTGGATGGAGCGAGGAGACTAAAGTTTGGGAAAGCTCTTCCCACGGACTCTCATCGTATTTGAAATATTTTGTTACTTATCAAAATAGAAGCTGAAGATACAGTCTCTGTCTGCAGACGTCAAGTAAAAAACCTACAATAAACTAGTAGTATTATTCTAATATTAATATTGCGTATCTATTTTTATTTGAGGTCACAATTAACTGTCTCAAAATGTTCAGCACGTAAGCTGCTACTCAGAACATGGGTAATAATAGGTTATCTTAATTCTTTTTATTTTGACGCATCTATAACAACACTAAATAACATTACACATTCTTATTTATCCTAAAGCACAATAATGGTGAATAGGTGCGATAAACCGGTATTGATGATAAAACTGTGCTATTTAAAACACAAAATATTGATGTGTTGATAATACACATATGATAATATCATGAAAATAATCTAGCAACTCCTAAATCATTGCTGTTTCTTTCTGTTCTTGCTTTTCATAATTCTTGTTACCGCATCCACCTTCTCACCTTTTGTTGTGTTGGATCAATAGTTTATGTTCTAGGACTCCTTCACACAATCGCATTCATCTTTATCTTCTTACATTACACTTCCCGTCATCCTTTTCACACTGACACGAGATCGAGACACTATACTTACTGCACAACCTTGTGATTGGCTTCTTTTATCTTAATTGTATCCTGTTAATTGTTTTATTATCTTAAATACGTTTTTATCTACACTGATGTCCTTTGCGCCGTATGAAAAAACAAGCCAATTAAAAGTGTCTGTTAAGGTGACTCAGTGGAAGGAAAGCAACCACAGCCACCTGTTTGATTTAATGTTGTCCTGTGAATCCTGGAAGAATGGCATTGTTTTGAATTTATAATTGCGTCATGTCTTGGAGAGACGACTGTGTCCAATAATGTCCTCCTAATTTTACTGGTAACCCTAATATAATACCCTGAAAGATCTCTAAAGCCACTTTTAGAACTACTGTTCCTACAAAAATGCGTTTAACTTTTTGTTCCTACCAACAGTTGTGTGTCAAAGTATCCTCAAGCAAGACACTGAACCTGGACCCACTGACTGGGTCAACTACTAAATACTTAAGATGACAAGGCTCAAAATAAATGTATTTTATGGTGAAATCTACTGGGGATCATCCCACATGTTGTTGTGTTTGGGACTGTTTCTGTCACTGCCTGCTCTGTGGGCTTTATGGCTTATAGCCTGGAGACTCTTGTGTGTCGTGGTCCTTGCTCCGCATTGATGGAATGAGAGCTGGAAACGAGTCGAAGAGAAGTTCACTGGGTTATGGGCCTGTGTCCTCAGCCAGCAACAGTGTGTGTATAGACAGTAGTCTGTATATCAGCCGGTCCGATCAGCGCACGTGGGAGGGACCCGACCTCCCTCGTTCAAACAAGACACAAGAAGAGGAAGCTACAAAGCTGGAAAACTGATCAGGGGGTTTGTGCAGCAGGTCTTTCACTCGTTGAATTGTGTGAAAATGTTGGCTGATGGTTTGGGTGAAGGTTGAATGATGATGCTGGAGATTGTTGGGCAGCAACATGAACCAGGGCTTAGCTGCTGTGCTCTCCTTACAGTTAGCTGAATGAATTTTTATGTAACAGGTTGAGCCTGAAGGCTGTTTCCAAGGTAGTATCTGTTGATGGTGTTTGTTGATTGGGCTCTGGATGCTGCTGCTGCTACTGTGTGTCCCTTCACACTGTAAAACATGGAAATCAAAGCTTTTGACCAAGAAGTCACATTACATCAAGATATCATTGTGATACCCATATTTACTTTTTTATAAGTTATTATATTTGTATAAAAATAAAAATAGGGTGATTCATAGTAATAGGGAGTAGTATAGCAACCCTGGCCTAAAATAGGGCTTTTAGGCCAGGGTAAAATAGGGTTTTGTCAGAAAATATTGAATAATACCTCTTATAAATTTCTATCGTCCAAGTTGACAGTCTAAAACCCAAGATATTCAGTTAACTATCATGTATGACAAAGAAAAGCATTGAATTCTCACATTTGACGAGTGGAAACTAGCAGATGTGACAAACAAAAACAATTATTAAGATATTAAAAATAGCTGCTAATTATTTTCTGTTGATTGACTAATGGTAGCAATTGGGGTTTCTGGTTAGTTCAGTGCAAAAACAATACCGGAGTTTTGCTCCAAGTGTAAAGTTAAATGAAAACATGTATCTTGTGCACTTATTTTGAAATTCATCCTTTCCTATGCTGTATTTGAGTTTGTGCTGACATGCTAAATCTAGAAATCACTATATTTAAAGACAGAAATGTTTGTAAATCTTACTGACACAGAAGGTACTGTTCAAGATTTTCACGATAAAATATTGTTTAAAAAAGAAAAAGAAATCTCTATATTAGTCTCAGGTCTGATGCAACAGGAACAAGCTGTAGCAGAAGGACTGTAGAGGGAGTTAGATAGTGATTAATGGTGGCTTCATGTATGTTGTAGGTTTTGGATCCGGAGCTAGAAGTCGCTGATCATGCCTTTCCCTCAGTGTCCACACAACCCTCCGCACTCAAGATCCAGGTAAGCAAAACACTTCTGACATGTCTCAAATTGGTTTTAATAATGTAAAATTTCTTACTATATTTCCTGTGATTAACCAAATGATAAAGTCTTCATTAGCTCCAGCTCTCTTTGTACTGCACTTTTCCTAAACGTAGCCAGTAAAGACAGCACTGTGACACATTCTGGGCACAGCAATAACATCAGGAGGCTTTTCAATAGACAGCACCAGGAATTACTGCAACCCAAGATATCGCCAGTGGAAGCTATTGGTACAGCCAAATTGCTTATTCCTTCAACCAAAGATGTTGTGGCCAGACTTTGTCCAAAGTCTGCACACTCTTATTGCTCTGATAAATGTCTAAATAGCAAGATACATTTTATTATTTATTTATCCTTGTTGGCATTAAAAGGGTGTAAAAAGGCCAAAAATGTAACTGGATCAAATCTACTGCTCCAGGATTTTCCGGAGTCTGTGTCCAGTTCAGTTCTTTTGTGTGTGTGTGTGTGTGTGTGTGTGTGTGTGTGTGTGTGTGTGTGTGTGTGTGTGTGTGTGTGTGTGTGTGTGTGTGTGTGTGTGTGTGTGTGTGTGTGTGTGTGTGTGTGTGTGTGTGTGTGTGTGTGTGTGTGTGTGTGTGTGTGTGTGTGTGTGTGTGTGTGTGTGTGTGTGTGTGTGTGTGTGTGTGTGTGTGTGTGTGTGTGTGTGTTGGCTTTAACAAGACTGTTGTGTGTATTTCAGGATAAGGAGATCCGGGGAGTTTTCCTGTGGCTGTTCGCTCGGCTCTTCCAGGGCTATCGCTGGTGTTTACACATCATCCGCATTCACCCAGAACCAGTGATCCGCTTCCATAAGGTCTGTAAACAACAAATCTCTGTCCATAAAGAGGAAGAGCGACCGCAAGAGAGAGGCTGACAGTGTGTAACTTGTGTTTCCACAGGCTGCCTTCCTGGGTCAGAGGGCGCTGACGGAGGACGACTTCCTCATGAAGGTGTTGGATGGCATGGCGTTTGCGGGCTTCGTCTCAGAGAGAGGGCCTCCTTACAGAGCCACTGACCTGTTTGATGACGTGAGTCTTTCAACTCACTGTTCTGGATTGTGCTGACTTTTCTTTTAAAGGACAGGGCAGGGTGGTTACGGACAGTTGTCACACTGCCCAGTATATCAGACCATTAACATGGGAAGTTTTGTACAGGATATGCTTGGCGTTCAAGTGGTGAGTCGTTACAACAGTGCTGCTCAGCAAAAATAGACACCAAAAGACTCCTAGTTAGAGACAGACATTTATATATGTATAAAAGTTTGGAGTTTTCTGAGCTTTCAGAAAATATTCACTTCCGAGATTGGGAATACCACAAGAACTCTTCTGTTGAACACGATTAACACGATCCCAGCACATGACTGTGCCCAAAATCACTCCCTCCTTACTATATAGTGCACAATAGTTACAATAGTCAGAATTCTGAGTGTGACATCGATGCTCTATGTAGCGCCCTAATAAATTCACACAATGGACCTGCTAACAAACCCACAATGGAACCAGTCCCATTTTATAGATGTGAAAGTTACACTGAAGCCGCAAAGTGTCCAAAATCTCCATTTACAGGTCAGCTAACTACCGAGTGTCTCGTCATGTATAGAGTAGTGGACACACCCCCAGTCAGTTCTCTTCAGTCTCTTCAGTTACAATGAAAAGAGACAGAAACGTATGAAGGGTTTTTGGCTCAGAACTGCCAAGTGCTGCTGACACTAAACATCATAATATCATGGTTCCCACGGGTCCTTGTCCTAGACATAAGCAGACAGGGGTCATTGAAAGTGCTTGAATTTATATATATTTTGCATAAATAGAAATGTATGAAGTTATTTTGATATTTTTTAGATATGAATTATTATTATTTTTACTCTTTCTTTATTTTTCTCTTTTTTTGAATTAGGGTCAGAGTAAGGGAGCTTCTGTGATTTCGTGCAAAGCCTGTTAGTTCTCATTATAAAAATTCTCAGTGTTGTAACAGAAATGAACATTGATCTTTCTCTCAGACTCTGCCGTGTTTAATTTGAGAGCAGTTGAGCCTGGAAAGTCTGGAAAATAATAATAATAATAATGATAATAATGACTGTAATGAATTAAACTGATCTCTGATTTATTTTTAGTTTTGTGTGGATGGGATCAGGTGCACGTTTTGTTTACATTCAGTGTTTCTCTTTAGGAGTGCATTTCCTCCCTCAGTAAACATTTGTGAAGCTGATTTTCTTTCAATATGCCAGAACAAATGTTCATTTATTTATTTCAGTTTGTGAAAGATAAACTGTCACTGTTTAATGTGGCTCACATATGAAAGGTTGATGCTGAAATTTGAGGTCCTTCTTTGTCCTGTTTCCCCAGCTGGTAGCCAATCATGTGGAGCGGATACGACAAGAGGAGACCTGTCCACACAAAGTCATGAACCATGTCAAGGAGCTGGCTGAGCAGCTCTTCAAAAATGTACGTTCTCTAATGAAATTTACAAAGAATATTACCCACTACTTATCCCTTATTCTGCTGCTTTCCTGTCAGTCCTGTTATGTCCCCTTTCTTTCCCTTTACTTTCATGTGAGAAACTCTCCTTCAGTTTTTTGGCCCAGTTTATGTCTTAACTTTCCTGTTTTCTCTCTCTCTCCCTTGCTCTTACCAAACTAATGGCAGGAGACACATCCCCTCTCTATCATAGCTCTGTTTTTGTTCAGTTGCGTCTTTGTTTTCTCACCACTGCTCCTCTTTATTCTCTTTCTGTCTTTCCCTCCCCTGTAGGAGAATCCCTACCCCGCTGTGGCAATGCACAAAGTCCAGCGGCCGTCAGAAAACGGCCAGAACACTGCACAGAATGAGAGGCCCTTCCCTGGGCTGGATGACGTTGCGGTGCAGCTCTTCATCGACCACGCTGCCGCAAAGCTCAAGACTGCGCCTCCTGTGGTTAAGTCGGAGCTCAAGGGCATGGTGCCATCTGGGCCCCCACTGGGTGAGCTGGGGAGAAATTGGGTTTATGTGTAAATTGGTAATTTGGTAAATTCCAGGTCTTAATAAAAATGTTTGGATCAGATTAATTTGAAATAAGAAGACAGAAAAATGTATGCAGATGTGAAGTTGTGATGTTTTAAAAGATACCCAAAAAGATAGTGGTAGACGCCTAACACCCAGATGTTAGTAAAAATCATAACACCGAGTTCGACTTCTGTACTTGCACCTCAAACTTACTGTGTGAACTTTTCACTCTGCAGTCTGTCTCACAGTGTGTGTTTAATGGGGTTGAGTTCCGTGTCACAGTGATAAATGAGTGTCTTATCGCATCTACCCCTCTCCACAGGAGACATAGTGGACAGGAACGGCAACGTGATGGCCAACAGCGCCCGCAGGCTGGAGGTGGTCAGGAACTGCATCACGTACATCTTTGAGAACAAGATGCTGGAGGCCAAGAAGGTAAGAACGACATATCTCTGGCTGACCAGACCCATTGGACAGTTGAGGAGGACAATAACAAAACGTCCTTACTGTTTGTTGTTGGTTTGGTTTTTGTGGAGTGATTTCAGCTGTTTTCATCTCCTCTGTCCAGTTAATGCCAGCTGTGTTGCGGGCACTGAAGGGTCGGGCAGCCCGGATTTGTCTGACCCAGGAGCTCAATCAGCACGTCCTACAGAACCGTGCTGTGCTGGATGACCAGCAGTTTGACTACATCGTCCGAATGATGAACTGCACCTTACAGGTGAGCCTGCAAATATAGAATCACTAAGAGTCAGTAGTATATATAAAAAACAACAACTTGAGATGATGTATTTCTTCATTGAATGGCCATGGAAAATCACAGGGGAAAGTTAAATATAGTTATATACTACTTACAACATCTTAAAGTCTAACTGGAATTAAATATAATATTTTGTTGTACTGTTCTGTACATTATGTCCTATGTAGTTTTTTGAGGAAAAAAGGGACACATCTATATTTTATATTTCTTGGTCTTAGGAAGGCACCTCTGTTTGTGCATATATCAGATAGCGTGCTATACTTTATCTGTCAACAAAGATAGAGAACTTCTTCGCATATATCCCATTAAAGCATTTCCAACGTTCCTGAGTCTACAGCTATGCTGATGCTTATGTTTGCATCAGAGTTCACTATGTATAATGTTTACCATGTTCTGCATTTTAGTTTTGCATGTAAGCATACTAACATATGCTAATTAGCACTAAAAACAAAGTACAGCTGAGGCTGACCGCTAGCATAGTTAAAAAACAACGTAAAAATGAGAAGAAGATTAGCATAAGTGATTTTGAAAATCTATCATATGAGTGCTTGTTATATATTGGACAGAATTTAAGGCACTGAGCGGTCCAAAAATGATCTCAGATGATATATTTTGAATACAGTTCTGTTTTTTGGTTTGCAAGTTGTCATATCATTCATTATCTGTTTCTGTTCAGGACTGCTCACATATAGATGAACACGGTATTGCAGCTGCCCTCCTTCCACTGGTCACAGCCTACTGCAGAGTAAGTTCACAACCAGCATCACCAAATTCAGCCTTAACCACAGCTAAGAACCCATTTAAATCCAGTGCTCCCTCGTAGTTTGAGGTTGGTGGGATGTCTTTGTCTGAACATGCAAACTCCTATTCTGGATGCTCAGACATTTAAAGTGTCTTTTCTCCCTCATAAACATCTCGTCCTGTGTTTGTCTGACAGAAACTGGGCGCAGGCATCACACAGTTTGCCTACAGCTGCGTACAGGAGCACATGGTATGGACCACCATGCAGTTCTGGGAGGCCATGTTCTACAGCGACGTCCAGAGCCACATCAGAGCTCTGTACCTGGAGACGGAGGACGGAGAGCAGCAGAACCACTCTGTGAGCACATACCCTTCACTCGATATCTTACTAGAGCAAACCAAGAAATGAATGATCTTGCACATTGTAAAAAGTTTTTGGTGAATGTTTGAAAGACATCACAGCTAGTAGACTAATGAGTCAGTCTCCCAACCTGCTGAGATGATTAATCATTGATGAACCTCCTTTGATTTGTTGTCAGGAGCAGCAGGACGGGTCGGTCAGTGGGAGGGAAATCAGCGCCTTGGACCTGGCATCAGAGCAGAACCGGCTGTGGCCGACGCTCAGCAAGGAAATGCAGGCGGAGCGCGTGCAGAAAGAGGAGAGCACGGTGTTCAGCCAGGCCATCCACTACGCCAACAGGATGAGCTACCTGCTGCTGCCATTGGACACCAGCAAGAACCGCCTGCTGAGGAGCTCCGGCCTCGGAGACGTGGAGAGCGTCAGCAACAGCTACGTCACAAACAGGTATGGACAGCTGGCAGCCATCATCGGGACTCAGACTTGATGATATTCTTGTGAAACAAAACACTTTTAGTTAAAAAATGTAGAAACATAAATGTTGAAAGCAGGTTTTTGTCTTGTAGTATTGCAGGCAGCATGGCAGAAAGCTACGACACAGAGAGCGGCTTCGAGGACGCTGAGAGCTCAGACGTGGCCAACTCTGTGGTGCGCTTCATTAACCGCTTCGTAGACAAAGTATGTAATGAGAGCGGCGTGACCAACGAGCACCTTAAGGCTCTCCACACCATGATACCAGGTATGGAGGCACCAAGACCTGCCACACTCACTGATCTCTCTGTGAACCAAACTTTATGACAAAATCTGTCACTTCTGTGCTCCTCCTTTATCTCTCTGTCTGTGTCTTTGCAGATATTGTTCAGATGCACATC